CGTTCTCGTGCCAGGTGCAACATTCGGCGATTATTTGTTTCAGATTGCACAATTATATGTTGCCACTGTCCGATAGGTGCACGTTCCATTTCTTACCGGTCAGCAGGGTGTTCACACATCCACGAGCTGCCGATCTTATGTAAAAATGGCATTGGGGAAGGGGCAGGGAATGGCGCAGGAAAATAAAGCACAGGTCAAAATGGCATAAGTGAAAACTAACAGTTGGAAGTACTGTGCTAACAGTTATATACAGATCTGAATGAAATAGATGATTAACCCTAACTCTCGACGATTATTAGTTGTGCTATTTTGACTGTGTAATTTTTACCGTAATATTTGTTTAGCCGTGCCATATTTTTCCTGTGCCGTTTTTACCCGTGACATTTTTTCCTGTGCCGTTTTTACCCGTGCCATTTGTTTTACCCGTGCCACTTTTTCTCCCAGTGCCACTTTTTTTCCCAGTGCCATTTCTTTTACCGTGCCATTTTTCTCGTGCCATTTTTCCTGTGCCGTTTTTTCCCGTACCATTTTTGCCTGTGCCATATTTACCGTGCCATTTGTTTTACCGTGCCGTTTTTACTGGCCACCACGAGCAGCCACAAGCTCTGCCTATGCCGATGGGCTTACAGTGATAACACCAAGCACAGCAGCTTCTCAAAAGTAAAGCGCTTGCTTAATAGGTGGGGAACAATGCGTGGATTAATAAATTCATTGATTAATAATGACGATTTACACAAATGATATGGGCATAAAATCGTGTGCAAATTATTATATTGTTACGTGATGTATATTATTATTTATTATTTTTATTTGATCAGGTAAGGCCTACTGAGCTATATAGCTATTTTGCAAAAGTGAGCTGGCTCAACGAAGTGGCTTATCGTGTGGAAATGTATAGTTGGCAAATACTCTAAATGCATGTTTCTAAATGTGGAGGGGAAATCGGAGGACCCAGAGAAAAATCCACACAACCACGGGAGAACACGCAAATTCCAAATATACAGCAGGCGTCAGGGTCGGGATCGAACCCACGACCTCCTGTATACCAGGCGAGGTTGTTAACATCTCGTAACAGTGGCGCCCTATATCGAAGGAGAAGATGGCACAAAGACCCCTAGAACTTACAAAGAGACGCACATGCTCACACAGAGACCCACAGAAAATCACACAGTGACCCACAGATTCGCGCAGTGACCCATAGTCTCACACAGAGACCCACAGAAATCACATAGAGAGCCACAGACTCGCACAGAGGTCCTCAGACTCACACAGAGACCATCGGACTCACAAAGAGACCCCTAGAACTTACAGAGAGACCCACATGCTCACACAGAGACCCACAAACTCGCACAGAGGTCCTCAAACTCATATAGAGACCATCCTAAATCACACAGAGCCCCACAGACCTAGCACAGAGACCCTCGGACTCACATAGAGACCCACAGATTTTCACAGTGACCCATTGACTTACACAGATACCCACAGAAATCACACAGATACCCATAGACCCACACAGAGACCCACATAAATCACACCAAGGTCTACTGACTCGCACAGAGACCCATAGATTAGTAGGACTGTGGGGATGCCACCGGTGCAAGGTAGGCGGAGCAGAGGGGGAGACCGAGCGTGAGAGATGGGAGGATGCGGTGGAACGAGATGTGAGGACGGACAGTGGATGGGACGAGAGACGAGCCACAGAGTAAGAAGCTCGTGGAGAATCAAATCCGAACAGCTGACCCTCATGCAATAATGGGACCTCTGACTTAGGAGACGTGTAAGTCTATGGCGTCTATATATAAGTCGATGGTTCTCATAAGTTCCCCCACCCCTCGCCCTTTTTTTACTTTACTGGTCCCTGCCATGCACAGCTCGTACCGTTCGCAAGGCAAAGCCGGTGTCATTACCGGAACGCGGCAATTTCCATTGCGGCGCTTGGGGGATGTGCCAATGTTTCTCCGCAGAGGGAACGTTTCGGAGGTCTTTTTTGTCGAATGCCACAACTGCCGCTGTGAGTGGAGATTGTTCACCTTAAGGCGCACGATGGGGAGAGACGAATTGAATCAACGGACTCATCACCTGGAGTAGGAATGTAATTCTCATGGGGAAAGCCCTGCCATTGCCACCGCAAATGTGCAGGTTTGCGCGATCGCTGCGGCCACGGCGCCTAATCAGAAGCAAATGCGTTAATGCCCGGAGCGGGAAGCGGGCATGGTTTTAGCGCGGCGTTCAACTAAATGTACTTGTTTCCTTTCAAAACGGGGCCGAACCATTAAATGTGTATGATAAATATTAAGCTCTGGTCACTATAATTGGACTATTTACATGCGCGGAAAAACAGCCCAATAAATCAAGCGCCTTTAGAAATTTTAATAGCGGCATAAAAGAGCGTTGGTCAGTGCTTTATCGTGACGGATTTTTTTTTAAGGAAACATGAGTGGATGGTTTTCTGTGTTAACCCATTTCTGTCGCAATTAGGCTTCGCAAACGTGCTTATATTTTCACGAGACGAGAACATGTTGTCCAAAAAAACATGTTATGATTATTATTAAATATAATATCGTCTTATTCTGAAGCCTTTTCTTCACGTGCTAATCACACGTAAAAAATTGTGGTGATAAGAATATAAAAATCTTACGCAATGAGGAATGCACAAACAATTTTAATAATCTTGCCCCTAAACATTATTCATCGCTGCTCACACGCAGCGTCCACACATACATCACGTTTTCATTTCATAATGTAAAATCCTAAATAATTTTAAACGTACGAGTGTGTAACCTTGTCCATAAATTATTCAGCCACATTATATACTTTTCACATTTCTCATTATTAAATCCAAGGTCCCTCACTGGGTGAGCAGGAGAGCTCCCAGTTCCCTAATCATTAATTTCCAATTTAATGCACGTGAGTGGCACTTAACCTCTGTGCTACTGAATATTTTCCACATCATGCCGAACCGAATTGATCGATCGATGCCAATGTTTTGGAGAAAACAGTTTTTTCGAGCACGGCTATTTTACTAAAGTCTCTTTTTTTTATCTAAGGCCCGAACTCACCAAGCACAAGCTCGCACGAGAAAAGGTCACAAAGTATTTACATTTGATTTTAAAAAGCAGGCGCAAGTGCCTCTGACGTCAGGGTTAAGCGTACGAAAAAGTCCTCATCGAAATGTACAAAAAATTGCATCTCTATAAAAAAAGCTAAATTTGCATGATATTGAAGATGATTTTAACGTTAATGAATTGAATAAATTCATCAAATTTTTTCAGCAATTCAATTATTCGGCTATCATCAAAACGGAGCAAATGAAAATGTGAAGATGTTTCGTTCTCCGTGCCAACTTTCCCTAAACATTGATATTATGTGCCAATAAAGTTCAGCTTAGAAACAACCAAACATATCCGTCTTCGAGTAGTTTAATATTTTAGGACATCTTCTACCAACTTCAGTCATCCGTGATGCGAGAGATACATTTAATTCACTGACCCAACACAATTACTGATGGCTGCAACAACTCACCCAATCGAACCATGCACAGCAATTACATTTATTGTTAAAAATGTAAAGGCTACACTGAATGGCAAGTGTCAGTATTCATTGATTTATTTTTCCAAGCGTTCCTTTTAATAGTCTTGGCACGGAAGCGACATGTTTAGATTTGAAAGCTCGTGGAGAGAAAAATAAACTGTGGACCGTTCAGTAAACCGTTTATGGAATGGAATACGCGAGGCGGCCAACACGTGCCAACCAGCACCACCACCGAGGTAGATAGTCGGACGCAATTATCCGCAATGGAATAAAATCCACCCCGATCATTGTTCCAGTTCTACAAGAGTAGCCGGGGTCATTGTGAGAATCACGCCATGGGTTAAGAGTATGGAATGGAGCCAGGGGAAGAGGTGACACGCTATATTTTATATCTCAGCGTGGTCCTCGCCACGGCAAATGAACGTGTCATTAGAGATGCTGTACGCGTCACAATGCGGCGATGCATGACACCGGCGATGGAGTGGCAGCCGGTGAGCACGACCGAGAGTTTGACCGCCGTGGTGACGGAGCATTGAGATCAGCTCATCTGCGGGAGGTGAGAGGGGGCCTTCATCCAGCAGCGGATAGACCGTGGCTGCTGCTGCTGCCGCTTCTCATGGATGATTATGATGATGGTGGCGGAGGTGGCGGCGCTAACAAGTTGCAACGGCAGCACAAATAATCGGCAGGGCACGGACGGAGTGCGGACGGCGGTGGAAACTCACGCCGGGAATCCACTCAGCGAGTGGCCAATGCCCGTGAAGGGGCCGAGCGCCACGCAACGCGCTTCAGCCGACAAGCTCCGCACGCTCACAGGCGCGCTGTGCAGGGTTGCGCTGGCAGCTGCTGCTATTTCACCACGCGTGAATGCGCGCGTACGTGCACGTGCGCGCGAGGGAGCGAACGGTCCGGCTCGTGGCGACGTTACCGAGATGAGTCGGAGTGCAATTGATTGGACCGGTGGACCTCACGAAATAGATTGTCTTTCGGGGGGGGGGGGTAATAAATGAAAGAGAACAAAAAAAAGCAACGCAAGGAAAAAAAATATAAACCCCTCCATCAAATAGATCAAATACGCAGCAGGGCCTGCCGCCGTCTTTTGCCGCTGCTGTGTTCTTGTTGCCGTCCCCCTCACTTCAAACGGGCGGGGTTCGGAGGGTGCGCGAGAGAGACAATCGGCTCAGCTCGAGCTTTTGCTCAGCGAGAGAAGCGAGAGGGGGGGGGGGTGTGTGGTGGTTGGGGGGAGGGGGAGTGCAGCCAGACGGCAGCGGGCACTTTCACTGCCCGTCAGGAATGATAGCACGCCAAAGAGCACGGCGGATTTCACCCAGCGGCACAGAGTGTGGGGTGGGTGGGGGGGACTCCGTGCGCGAGTGTCGGCGAGAGCCGTGGTCGGCACGCACGGGTGGACGGACCGACGGACGAAAGCCCGTGCCTCGCGTCGCAGAGTGATAGGCGCCGCAATGTACCTTTGGTGCTCTCGTCCTCGATGGGCTGCTTGAAGGGGGTGATGTCCCGGAAGGTGCTGAGGAAGAGCACCACCTCGTCCGCCTCATTGCGGATCGGCGCCACCTGCACGTAGAGCCAGATGGGGCTCCCTGCACAAGCGCGAGGCACGGGGGTAGGGCGGCATGGAGTGTGTCGTTAGCAAGGCCCCCCCCCCCCCCCCCCCTCCTCTCTGGACAAATATCCTCCTCCCACAATGCAACAAGTAATGCACACGCAGAGTCAATGTCCTGGTGAGCGGCAACCAGTGACAGGGATTGCCTGATGTCTCTGCACTTTCGTGTCGCAACTCCATCATCGCCGTCAGCGATTACGACTAATCCACTGCTAGATGAAGGCCTTCCCAAGCGGTCGCCATCTCTCACTCTCCAGCAACGATCCACCGAGCCTCGTGCACACGAGGTGACGGCCACCACTGGCAGCTATTCTTGATTTTCACCATAGCTATTCATAATTATTATTACATTCTACTTTTACTTAACTGGAAGGCAGCTGAGGATTTCAATAAGTTCCATTAATGTGAGTCACAGAGTAATGCTTGAAGTATACAATTAACTTAAAATGTAGAAAGGCATACCTGAACTGGACACTTAGAAATTATAACAGACTCATTTGGCTTATCAAAGCATTTAATGAAGCCTATGATTAGCTCTGTAGCCTGGGACGTAAAAAAGAGCTTGAATAATGTATAAAAAAGATCATGATAATTTAATAGGAGCTACCCCAGGCAGATTATCATCTACATTTAAATAATGAAATTCATTTTTTTATATATATCTTGCTTTTGTTACCCCCTTACAATTTAATGGATTGAATCAAACTTTACTGGACAGAATATCTGGTTGAAATGTGCATGTCAAGATGGAGTCAAATAATAACTTAATAAACAATAGATATATATTTTGTATCAAACCGTGTATGATTGGGGAGCCGTGGCGCAGTGGTTAGCGCACTGCGCTATGAACTCCGCAACCAAAGTTTTGATTCCTGGCCATGGCTAACAGCAGTGGTGACTGACAAACCTGCTCAGACCGGCATGGTTCAGTATCGTCAATTGAGCAACACGTAATGGGGAGGCCTTCATTGAGCAGTCGATTGACAAAGGGCTGAATTAAGAAATAAAGTTTACATTATTCACATTGCAGTGTGTAACTAGGTTGTATACTGGACTTGGACAAGTGTTGTTTGTGAGCATTTACTAATAACAAAATGGTATTCATAACAATAATAAAACAATCACAATGTCCTCGGTTTATCAGGAAAAGCCTAAATAATTATAAATACTTTTTTTTCAGGAGGGTCCTGCTTTGAGATGTTTGGCCAATTCTATGAATGTTGGTGACTGGTTTCTGGAAGGATCCTGGAGAAATCAAAGAAAATCCAAACTCAGGAGGGACTACCGCTAAAATTCGAACATTCTAGTCATAATAAAGTGTTTTTGTTAGTTGGATCGCGTAAATATGAATGTGTCCTTAAACCCGCCACCATCCGACACAGTCAATTTGTACGATTTGTCATGTAAACAAAACATCCCAATTAGTTCTACTTCGGCACAAAACGTGCCAATTAGTTACTATTAAGTAGTCAACAAGACACCCGTGTGCTAAAGTAGCAACTAATTGGCACGTTTTGTTTACGGGACAAACCTTACTAATTGGCTGTGTCTGGTGGTGGCGGGTTGAACGACACAATGTTTGCGCGATATAACCCAAAACACCTTTATTATGGATAATATTGCTCGTGAAAGCCAACTACGTGTTAAACTGATGCTATTTAATCCGTTCACTGTACTGTCATTTAGTGGCCACCATGCAGCCGACTTGCTTCAGGAGTTTAATAAATGAAATTTATATGTAGACCTTCACCACCAATATTCGGAATCATAATTAGTTTAATTTAGATTAGATTGTCGAATAGATGTAACGCGTTTTTTTACTGTTACCCTCCACTTCCCGACAGAGCCAATAAAATCGAGTTGCCTCGTGGACAAATACGCCAAATTATTAGATTTTTTTTTCAGCAAACGGGAAAGTTGAATAACAAACAAAATTTTGATTTAAAGCTTTCGTGACTGCAGTGATTCATATTCTTGGTGCTTTCAGTAAAGTCACGTTGAAGGGAAACAACACAATAATAAAATATATATAAAACACTAAAATTCTCACGACGTTTCGACTGTTTGTGTTGCAGTCGAAACGTCGTGAGAATTTTATTGTTTCATATATTTTATTTATTTTATTGTTTCCCTTCAACGTGACTTTACCGAAAGAACCAAGAATAACGAACAAAATGTTGACGTTTCCCGCCGCAGATCACATCCAGCATCGTCAGCATCATCAACACACGTGTTTCACCCACTTATTACTTACTTTCAATCACATGCTACAGATTTTCCCGAGGGAGAGGGGGGCTCTGTACGCCTCTTCACCCGAAGCCTACTTTTTATTTCAACCAAGGGAACGCCCGCGGCAGCCTCTCTCATCCCCGCCGCGGCATTTTCCAAGCCGTGCTCCGACACGAGCTGAAGGAGCAACAGGGACAACTTCGTGGGCTTCCCGCCGTCGCGCTGCGAGCTCGTCCGAGCCGCGTGTCGTTCGGCGTTCGGCGCGATGTCCGCGTGGTTTCTTTTTTGCATCTTTCTTTGCTTTGTCCGAGTGCCACGTGGGAACTTCTTCGGCTGCCATGGAGCTTCGTCGGCCTCCACGGGCGCGTCGAGCGAAAACGCCGGACGTCAACAAGATGCCGGTAGAGGAGCGCGAGACGCCGATCTGGCTCAGGTCTTGCGCAGACCGGTGGCAGGGTGAAGGGTGAAATGCTGTCTTCCACCTGAGATGGCTCTTTTCATCGTGTGTGTGTGTTCGTGTGTATGTGTGTGTGTTCGTGTGTGTGTGTGTTTGTGTGTGTGTGTGTTCGTGTGTGTGTGTGTGTTCGTGTGTGTGTGTTCGTGTGTGTGTGAGGAGAGGCTTGCGGAGCCCCAATGCGGTTTCAGGAAAGGGCGGTCCTGCACAGATGCCATATTTTCTGTCCGTCTGCTACAGCAGAGGTGTAGGGAATTCCAGCTTTATTGACCTGGTCAAGGCCTGTGATACCATCAGGAGGTCTGGGCTCTGGGTTGTTCTTCGTGCTTTTGTAGTACCTGACCCTCTGCTTACGATCATTAAGGACCTTCATGATGGTGAGCGGGCCCGGGTAAAACTACGTGGCCGGGAGCCAGAGGACATCCCTGTCGCACCCCAAGGTGTACAGGGAATGGCTCTGACTCCCACATTATTTAACATCTATTTTGACCACGTAGTTCGTGAAGCCTTCAATAGCTGTACCGGGGGAATCTCCATATGGTACAGATATAATGGGAGGCTGATCGATGCCCGGGTGCGGTCAAGGGATGGCTCCCTATTGCTCAACCACGTTATGTATGCCGATGATTTGGTAATAGCTGCTCATTCAGAGGAGGAGTTGGAGACGCTGCTGCTGAGACTGGAGCGTGCTACTAAGAGATGGGGCCTTACCATCAGCCCCACCAAAACTAAGCACCTGCCTTGGTATTTTGTACTATCGGACACTCCACCCCCACAACTCCCAATTGGTGATGGGGCAGTTGTGGAGAGAGTGGAGAGTTTCCCATACCTGGGCAGTGTGCTTATGACCGGCTCCAGTTTAACAGCAGAGGTCTCACTCCGAATCAGTCGAGCGGCAATATCTTTTCATCGGTTGCGTAACGCTGTGTGGAAGCTACCTGGTCTGTCGCTCCGCACTAGGCTTCAGGTCTTCTCGGCCACGGTCATTCCCTCCCTTCTCTACGCTTGCGAAACGTGGACCCCCTTAATGGAACATCTTCGCCGGTTAGAAACATTTAGGCTGGCCTGCCTACGATCCATCCTGGGTTTAACCAGGCTGGATTGTGTGAGGAGCTCACAAATCCTTGAAAGATCTGGGCATGGTCCCATCGGTGAGCTCCTCCGGCAGGCAAGGCTGCGTTGGCTGGGTCATGTAGCCCGCATGCCCAGCCACCGCATGCCGAAACAGCTTTTGTTCGGCCGGATCGAGGGGGCTAAACGGGCGCGGCACGGGCTAGAGAAGAGATGGAGTGACGTGGTACAGGAGGACGTGGAGCTGAGTGGACTTGCCGATTACTGGTACCAGCGGTGTCAAGATCGGCCTCTGTGGAGGAGGCTCGTGAAGGATGCTACTGGGCAGTTGGAGGCAGTCGCCCTCCAACAACAACGGAGGGCGGAGGAGCGACGCTCACAACAACGAGCGGAGCGCCTGGTGGCTAAAGCACAGCAGGTTGGCAAAGTAGGGGGCACAGGTGGTGCATCAGCCAGTCATCTCAGTCAGTCGACCCGTGGCACCTGGGTCTGCCCCGTGACCTCCTGCCAGCGGGCGTTCGACACTTCACGTGGCCTCAAGGTGCACATGGCCTGGCACAAGCGTCGTGGTAACGTCACCGCCACTTAGTGGCGAATGGTGGTTGTTGTTGTGTGTGTGTGTGTTCGTGTGTGTGTATGTGTTCGTGTGTCTGTGCTGTGGTGACATTGCGGGGAGCGGTAGCGTGGTGGTTAACGTGCCGCGCTACGAACCCGGCAACCCGGGTTTATATGCCCGCTCACGGCCAACACCGGTGACCATTATCTGAACCGGTCCTGGGCCTCCCCTAGGTGTGGTGTGTAATAAACGTCGCCACTGGGGAGACAAAGGTGGCCATGCGCGATGCCGGCCACCCACCCCCTCGTGTGCCGTGTCGGCCTTCATAGGTGCTCGCTAGACAGCATTTGCCCCAACAGTCTCTTAAGGCTACACGGGGATATTTGTTTTTTGTGTTTGCCCTTGTGTTGACATCTCGCGGGTTTGGATCGGGCTGTCTGTTATTCACCTCCTCGCTGAATGAATTCAGCCCCATTCACGACCAAACGGAATGACAAGATTCTGACGTGAAACGTGCCAGACACCTATTGGCCTTTACAATGCACACACTGACATTGGCTTTTTTTTTTATAGAGAGTAAGAGGATTTTTTTTTTTTATCAGATGTGTCGACACGCAAAATGTCTTGAGTCGCAGCCATCCCAACAGCAACATTGCATTTCCCCACCCTCCACTTGTTGACCGAACACGCAAGCGCCCACATCTCATCACCTGTTGCGATATTCCAGGGCGGCTGCTGGCCGTTACCAGTCGAGCGGACACACACGTGTGCTCCGGGCGGACGCAGCACACGCGTGTCCGTTCCACAGGGCGGCCCCCTGCACAATCGTTGCGTGCGTCTGCGCGTGTCTGTGTGCGGTGGAGCAGCGGTTAGCGCGTCCCTCCAACGAAACCGAAGATTCCCGCTCACGGTCAACACCAGTGACGAATATCTGAACCGGCCCTAGGCCTTCCCTAGGTCGACTCAGCCTCTGATGCGGTGTGTAAACATCACCACTAGGGAGACAAAGGTGTCTCGGCATGGTGCTGGCCACCCACCCACCCCTCTCGTGTGCCGTGCCAGCCTTCATAGGTATTCGCTAACAGCACTTGCCCCAACAGTATGTTAATGGCTGCAGGGGACATGACACAACGTCCTGTATGGATTTGATCTGAAGAATGAGTTTATATATAATCACTGGTGTTTACTACCTGCCTACAATGATGTATGTTTCAGGAACATAGTCATTTAAAAAAAGAAAATCGAACAAAAGCTGAAAAGTGTGCAAGAGGGGCACAGAGAGATGCACCACGATTGTAATAGCACAGAGAGACAGAGGGGGGAACGTGTGCAGGTTTAAGGCATCATTCAAAACGATGAGAAAAGTAAAGTGCATTTGGACAGGACAACATCACGAGAAGGCATGATGGCCCATGATCAAGAATAGCGATGGAGCTGCAGCCGAGGAATGGAATGCGTCCGGGAGGCCATCCAGCGCGAAGATGGAGAAATTCAATCCCGCCCTTTTTGGGGTTTCTGCAGCCGTCTGGAACGTTCCTCCTTCCGATGCTAGGAAGTAGAAATTGAAAAGTAATTTTCTTAGAATTGCTTTTTTTGTTTAGTTTATTGTCCTTTCCCCGGACCTGGGTGGATTGTTACATCACAGAACCGTGAGAAATGGCTTGGGGAGACTTTCATACAGTAGCGGATTGATCATGGCTACTAATGGTAATGATGGGATTTGGCCTGAGGGGATAATGTTTGCCGTGGCAAGATGGTGCCGGATGTAATTCACCCTACTTGATTGGATTTCCTTACAAATCAAGCTGGCCACATTTGCCACTGCATATCAAAACCCGGACATATTTCTGAGTCAGCACAAGGTGTGTATCATCAGACCTGTGCATTGCACTACTCTCATAAAGTTTCACACAACACCAGAACTAGAGCTCAGCACAAATCGATTCCTGCCACCCGAACACAAATGCCAATTTCCAGACTGTCCGAGTTAAACGCTGACCCTGTTAGAAATTCATGAATGCAGAATAATGTAAAATGTTGCAAAATTCGTGCTGTTTCATAATAAGCAAAACCATTGCAACTCTTATTTGCCCTAACGGGCTGTTGCTGTAGCGCACTATTATATTGTCCGTGCTTCAATTTCTTTACTTTTAAGCCCATACCTTCCGACAGCGAGCGGGCACATAACCTTTGCTGCTTTGTTGGCCCCCGAGTGCTGTGCATTTTTATTTTCATCACTATGAGACGCAATATTTCCGCCCCGGCTGGATGAAGGTCTCCCCAAGTAGTCGGCCTAAGCACACGGTCTCGCAATGCAAGAATCCCATCTCACTCCTGCACGAGAGATTCAGCTCATCACTCCGTCTCCGTAGCGGTTGTCCTCCCGGGCACGTTTCCCTCCTTTGGCTGCCGCTCCATCGCAGGTCTCGTCCAGTCGCTGACATCCCGCAACATTGACATGGTGTCCTTCCCAATCCGAATTGAGAATCTTCTTACCACCCATTATGACGTCTCTTAACTTGCATAAATTCCCTCTATCCCACGTGTTCTGCTTTCTCTCTGCTGTTTCTCGGTGCAATTCCAAGCATCTGCCTTTCCATTATTCTGGCGCACTTTTTCAGCTTTTGTTCCGTTTCCTTTGCGAGTGTCGTTGTTTACAGATCCACGTGTCGTAGCCAGAAAAAAAATATGCACTGAAAGGAATGTTTATTCTGTAAGTATATTGGTGTGTCACTATCCATTTTCAAGTTCATTTTTCCATGGGCACTCCAACCTGCTCTCTTTGGCCTCTTTATTTAATCATTTTGATCTTAGTCCACCTGCAATAATAATAATACATACCTTATAATATTTTCCGGCTGTGTCCCTCCAACAAATATCTTTATTTGTATAGCGAGCGTAGTGCACGTGACCTCCGCTGTGCTCATATTCATCTTGAGGCCCACTTTGCCGCCTATTATAAAGTCCTTCAGTCGTTTCCTGTAGTTCATTTATACATGTTCGCATTGTGCCTATGTCATCAGCGAATTATGTTTATGCATTTATTTTTCCAATACAATTTTCACACACTGTCTTCTCATGCCGCTGCAAATCTACTTTTTGCTCGACTCTGCTCAACTCTGCTAGTGATGTTTATTCTGTTACATTCTTGCATGCGGCCTCAGTGTCGCTCTTCCATCGTGAGTGGTTAATGACGTTTCTAAATACCTTTTTTTGGGATTTGACGCACGACTGCATCAAAAGCTCGGAATAATTCAATTTGTTATTCGTTTGCCTATTCCATGAATCTGATGGGTTGCGTAAATAAATATATATTTTGTACGTGGAAGGCCAGATATGTAAAGGAGATGTAATGTTTGCACATCTACTCTTCATTCCATAATCCGGCTACCGGGAAGAATTTGGTCAACGGTGGAAACAACTCTCTCCCCAATTCCAGCTTGCTCGCGTGATTGTTTGGCGTCTAAATTGTCCACTGTTCCCATTGATCTTCGTGAAGCAATTGCACGTGATGCATGACCGGATCTAAAGATAGGAATCATGGCACATGGGGAAAATGTAGATATGTTTGATAGGAAGCTAATGGATGGATCTGTAATTATTTTAAGTGAGTATGCTCTGCCTTTTTTTTAAATAAGAACAAGATTTAAGCATCATTTTACGCTTGAGATATTTAACATCTGTAAAAAAATAAAAACACAACGTAATGAAGTAATACGGGTCATTTTATGCTGACGGCTGGTCCCGCTTCTTTGGTGATGTCCACGGTGAATCCTTCGGATACCAGGAGCTTCCCCTGTGAAGGGTTTGCGTTCACTCCTTGGAGCGTGACCTCTGGGACTTGCTCCTCTGCAACGCATCTTCATTTGAGTGACACCGCGATTAGATTTGCTTTATGTTGCATTATTACTAAACTGGAGGGCTGGGCGGGAATTCCGTGATTGGATCGGCGTAGCGGACTCGCGCGCTGTAAACGATTTCCGCCAGTCGCCTGCCTCTAATGCGGAGCAAAATGTGCGCCGATCATCTCCCCTCACCTCGGGGCAGTTCTGTTGTGAATTGTTAACCTGCGAAATATCCATTTCTGAAACGCTCTCCTATCGATCAAAATTCCCCCCCACACCCCCGCCGCTAAATATCCTGAAAGGAAAAATAAATAAAATTACCCCACCCCCTCCCCTCCAACCCCCCCCCCCCCCCCTCCTGCACGGCACGTTGTGCTCTCCCCCTGCACCTCTGCAGAGACGCGAGTAATTCGATTCGTGCCACGCCGCCGTGTTCGCGATGTGCTTGATATTTCTTTCGTAACAAAGCAAAATTTAGGAAATGTGCTCGATGTTTTGTCTTCGTCCCGCCCGCCCCTCTTTGCGTTGGCAGCGAATTTTGGGAGAGAACCCAGCTGCTTTGCTCTGGCAGTCGAGGCCTGACCGTCCCGCGTGAATAATTACCTCCTTATCATCCTCCCTTGTGAGCGCTTCAGAAGCAATTCTTAAGCCACCGCATGTCGGGAGAGCGTTGCGCAATTGCAGCAGATACGGCCACGTTTAAGGTTAGAAAAAAAATGTTGAGGAATCTACAAAAAAAAAGCGCAAACAAATTCCGTGTCATTAAAATTGGCGCTGTGGGTCCCATTGTAAATATATATATATAGCTGTGTGGAGCTAATACAGTGCAAGGTTACACATTTTTGACCCAAATATATATGTTTGCTGACGATAATGCCACGAAGTAAATTTTCCTGCATGTTTTGTTGTATTCTTGTGGGTTGTGTTAACCCCGCATGCGGTAATGCCATGGGTGCTGAGTCAGAGCTGCAGTTTGCAGATTTAGTTCCAGTCATAAATAGTAATGGGGGTGGGGGGGAGCGAGAGTGAAATGGTTAGCGCACTGCTTTATGAACATGAACTGGATCAGAGCTTTGAGTTGGGAGATTCATCATCATCATCATCATCAAAGTCAAGTTTATTAGTTTAACCGGGTAAAAAATCACGAGACCAGGATGAGTCTCATTTGCAAGAGTGACCTGGTAGTGATCATCACGAGTGAGCATCATCAGTCACAATGCTGGATGAAGATCTTCCCAAACCGTTGCAATAGCTCACGGATCTGCGATGTAACAATCCACCCAGCAGCTGCACACGATCTTATTTGATCGCTCCATCTCCATTCCTTGGATGCCACTTGTATCATTTGTTGGTGAATGTGGGCATACTTTTTTTTTAATCAAAAACCCAATATCCATTCCAGATTTGCGCACCGCACTATGAACGTCATCACCCGAGTTCAAGTCCTAGCCAAGGTTGATATCAGTAGCAAGCGATGTCTGAACCAGTGAAAATATGATTGCACAGCCCCATATGATTGACACGCAGTGGGAGGCATTCATCCAGCAGTGGATTGACAAAGGACTGTAAATGATTGGCGAGGGAAGGCGATGGCCTGGAGTGATTAGGCACTGGCTGGTGACGATGATGGTGATTGTTTAAAAAAAAAAGATAGAGATTCTTACGTAGAGTTGTTTTCATTCCTACCGGCATTAAAATATCTCTTCTTGCCGCGTGTGGCTGCTGTCTGCGAGCATTTGCGTGAGCCGAGGGCGCACTTACTGTTTTTCTTGTAGAGCAGAATCTCGAACGAGTTGCTCTCGTAGTTGTCGAAGGACTGCCGCACTTTCTCAACGGTGTCCTTGTCGGTGAGATCTCCGTACATGAAGCTGTAGGGGGGAGAGAGAAAAAAGGTAACAGAACCCTTTATAATGCTCAAATGTTGTCAATGAGGAAGGAGCATTGTGCGCGTGCATACGCGATTCGCGAAAGTAAAAAAAAATGCCTTGAACGACACGGCACATCCGTAAGTTTAAAAAGTGTTTCTTGTTTAACCAGTCACGGATCAAAATAAATTTCCCATGCGTTCACAAATCTAAAATTATCTCTTTATTTTAATAAGTTAGGCCCCACTGAGCGATGTAGCTCTTTTCAGAAGCGACCTGGCTATCACAAATGATAGCTCAACGATAGTGACTTATCGCGTGGAAATGTATAGCTGCCAAATACTCTAAATGCACGTTTCTAAATGTGGAGGGAAAACCCGGAGCACCCGGAGAAAAATCCACGCGACAATGGGGAGAGAGCGAGAGAGAGCGAGAGAGAGAGAGCATGCAAACTCCAAATATACAGCAGGTGTCAGGGTCGGAATCGTACCAGGCGAGGTAAGTAACATCTCGCGACCGTAGCTAGCAGGTGTGCAGGCGGTGCAACTGCACCGGGGCCTTTGCACCGCAGCGGCCCAGGCGTCGGGTTGCATTTAAAGGGGAGGGGGGCAGAATGGAGGCATGGGCCCCCCATTGGATTCCTTGCTACAGGGCCAATTCCAACTACGCTGTGTGGCTGATCATTAAGCAGCGGTTGTTTGTTAAGTTGTATTTGTGTAGGCGCTGGGTGTTCACATGTCACCGTGTGAGGAATGGATTTAGTGATGCGGTCCTTTTATTCTTAAGCTCACAAAACGTGCATTGAATCGTGAATCGATGTTTTTAGGTTTTTAGATGTACTGTATGTATGTTTTCCATAACGGGTTCACATGACTCTTCCAGCTTCTAGAAGCTGCTACATTCGCCACCGTGTTTAACATTTCATTCAAACAAAAATTACAAGTTGCGACCTTGAAATGTAACAATCCATGGAATCGCAAGGAGGCGGACAGTTACACCCACGTTAGGAAATAATGTATGTAAAATATAGCCATTGTTTAAAATGTTCATTCGCATAGTTATTGAATGCAACTGCGTCACCTTGAAAGTGTGCTCACTATGGGACCCTTTTTGCCAGCATTAAGATGATAATAAAAAAAGAACAGGCTTTAACCCTTTATTGAAATAATACAGAAAGTGTTAAGCTGTTCGAACACCAAATGGACTCCGATGACATGGCATCAGGTCTGCATTAACCACACGTGCGTGTGGTAAAACACGCGAACAAATATGCTTTGACAATAACGTATGCATTGTCCTTTAAACTGACAATGGCCTACACCAGGGACAGCTTGCTTGTCTCACCGGCGCTAGAGACCAAACAACGCCAAAAGGCGAATAGCAATTCCCCTTCGTTATTATTTAAAAAATTTATGGTAAAGCCTCTTTCTTCTTTTTGTAAGTGTGCTGACTACCTCCCAAACTCTGTGTCCCGTATCTATATTGGGCATGTGCTTCATCCCAAGAATCAGTCTCTCTTATACATTTTTAAAGTGTGGTGAATGTAGCCGCCACTAGTGGCTGCAGGTGTCATTGGAACCGATCACTTTCAACATATATACAAATTAAAATATACATCGATTAGTATATCGTGAGCTTAAGGGTCAATATTTTTTTAACAAATTAATCTAATCATAATAAGTGTATTTTGGGTTACATCGTGTAGGTATGATCTCCTTTTTCCCACGGTAACCCTCCACCACCCGACAACGCTAATCAAAGAAAGTTGTCAAGTGAGAAAATATGCCGATTGGTTTTGGTTTCGTTTCTTAGCAAAACCGGAGGAGGTAGAACGTTGGAAAAGCGATAAAAATGTTGGCAATTTTGCGCGACCAGCATCATCAGGTGTGAAATAGGTTTGAGTTCAAACGTGACATTATACACACACGCGCTCGAACCCGACAAGAAAACCGATCGCGGATCATAACATCGCCCGTGAAAGCCTCCGTGTAAAATTGACGTGTGATTAACTTGACGACGTCGTACCTCTACATTCGAATGAAGATGTCACCACGGCCTAAGGCAGTGATGCCCACGGTGTCACGGTGTTGACGTGGGTGCCACAGGCCAGGGGATCTGCAGCCGCCACTCCTTTAACCAAGCCAGCGGGAACCCGTGGGAAGGAAAAACTCTCCACCTTATTGCCGAAGCTTCTTCGCTCGCCATTGAGAGCTGGCAAGGCGACATTTGCCACGTGCGATCGGGGTTCCCCTTGGTAATTCGAGCGGCCAGTGACAGTCGCCCTGGGCCAAATCCGCACCCTTCCGTTGAGACTCGGCGACCGTAAATCGCTTTGACGGAGGTTATTCAACCCCACGGCGATTTGATTGTTTTTAATTGTGTGGAATATAGTTAATTATAATTGCACCGGAAAGCGGATGTGGTGTGTTATGAGATCGATAATGCTTAATGCAATGTTGCAACAATAGCGTTAACACGAAAAACACTGTGATTATTGCGTCGGAAAGTATGTTCGCAAGGGAAACGTAATGCGGTAGCTGCAAAAGGGATACAACAATATTTACAGCTGTCCGTTGTGAGATTTGTAAACGGTAGCTTACATTGTGGTAGGGTATCGTAATTTGTAGATAGGTTAGAGCAGCGCTGGGTGCTGATGTGCCAAATAATCAGGTCAAACGTCAATCTGTGTTCAACGTCTCAAACCCGTTGGCATAAAGTACACTTCGCCAGCCTTCAAACAACTCCACAAGTTTGGAAACAGGTGGACCCACCTGGGATGAGTTCTTCGGACAAAGACATATTCATACTTGATACATAGAGATTAGGGGCCGTCAATAAATGACGTCACGCGATTTTTTAGCCGATTTTTGACCCCCCCCCCTCGTCACACGGCGTCACAAAAAGTCAGACCCCCCTCAAATATGACGTCACAAAGCTCTGCCCCCCCCCCCCCAACCATATTTCCATTTTGAAGATAAAACATGCTTCAAATCACTTTAAACTATTGTCATTGTATTTCGATTTAAGCATTTATTATTTTATTTCCATTTTAGGTGACTTTACCGAAGGAACCAAGAAGAAATTGTCATTGTAGTGCATAGTTAATGTGGCGCTGCACTCTGATGTTGTAGGAGAAAACACGTATTAAAAAGGAGGCGTTGGAAAGCTGAAATTTAGCATAACATTCACTTGAAAATATTCAACTAAAACTGCAGATGTTCAGAATATTATATTGAAATTTTCTTATAATTATAAAATATTTAAAGTCATTATGACTATAAAATAAATACTTGAAACTTTGTAGTAGAACGAAGCAAGATGGAGAGTACAATTCAAACAATCACATATTCATTCAAGAGAATGAAAAGCCCTGGTAGAATAATTAAAATAAAAAATGTTTAATAACAATCATTCAAAAAATTAACAAAATGTATGCTGCTCCATTCTCCCATGGAGAAGCAAAATGCTATTTCATGGAATAAATAAAAGGTGACCTTAGTCAATTTAAATAATCAAATAGTTAATCATGAAAATGGATTAAAAAAATTAGTGTTGTAACAATTCTATTGATTATATTTATTTAAAGTTGCGCATTTTGATGTGACGTCACATTTCTCAACCCCCCCCCCCCTCCCCCCCCTCGTCACACATCGTCACAAATGTCTGACCCACCCCCACCTCGGTGCGTGACGTCATTTATGGACGGCCCCTTCGCTTTCCAGCACGTGGAGCGCAACGTGGAACGCCGTGCCGAACAACGTGCAGCAGCAGCAAAGCCCGTCAACGCATCGCAGAGCGACGCGGCACAGCTGCCGTAGCCCGCGCAGGAATGCAGAGTAACCCAGGCAGGTGGCGACGCAGCAGTAGAGCGAGCAGCTCGCTACGGGATGATTACGAGTTCACATCCTGTGGCTGGCGGTTGACTCAGCCCATCATCTACCCAGGGTGGATTAAATGAGTTCCACTTTCGTGGGGAAGTCAACAGTAGTTATCCTACTCAGTAGTAGTTATCCTGGGTAGTTATCCTGGGTAGAGACCTTCCCCCCCCGCCATAGAAATGTGGAATTTCCACCACTGACTCAGAGCTGTAAACTGGAGGATGAACTACCAATGCCTCGAGGCTCATTCTATTACACCATCACTTCGACTTTGAATACCGATTATCCACATTATTATTATCATCACATAGAATGCATAGCCTAACAAAGATGTAAATTGCCATTTTTGGCAACATAAGAGGGAGGCATCTATTGATTGGCCGACATATACATCCGGTCTGGGTGTAGCGGAGGGCCCTCATGTGGAATCGCTTTAGAGACGCTCCAGCGACGATGCAACATGCTCGTATAGTTGCGCACATTGACATTCGGGCGGGTGCTCGTGTGGCAAGACCGCACGGTCGGTCCGTGCGTGTTTTGTTTTTAAACTGGGAGTACGTGCGTGTGTGTTTTGTTTTTAAACTGGGAGTACGTGCGTGTGTGTTTTGTTTTTAAACTGGGAGCACGTGCGTGTGTGTTTTGTTTTTAAACTGGGAGCACGTGCGTGTGTGTTTTGTTTTTAAACTGGGAGCACGTGCGTGTGTGTTTTGTTTTTAAACTGGGAGTACGTGCGTGTGTGTTTTGTTTTTAAACTGGGAGTACGTGCGTGTGTGTTTTGTTTTTAAACTGGGAGCACGTGCGCGTGTGTTTTGTTTTTAAACTGGGAGCACGTGCGTGTGTGTTTTGTTTTTAAACTGGGAGTACGTGCATGTGTGTTTTGTTTTTAAACTGGGAGCACGTGCGTGTGTGTTTTGTTTTTAAACTGGGAGCACGTGCGTGTGTGTTTTGTTTTTAAACCGGGAGTACGTGCGTGTGTGTTTTGTTTTTAAACTGGGAGTACGTGCGTGTGTGTTTTGTTTTTAAACTGGGAGTACGTGCGTGTGTGTTTTGTTTTTAAACTGGGAGCACGTGCGTGTGTGTTTTGTTTTTAAACTGGGAGTACGTGCGTGTGTGTTTTGTTTTTAA